TCCATTCCAAGAACTCTCCGGTGCAGGGTATTGAATTTTTTTGGTGAATGTGGGGTCATCCACTTGTATCCAGCAGTCAAGAATCACCCTTTTGTTTTTCGAATGGTCCCTTTAGCTGCTTGCTAGCCATCCAAACATGCAAATGATGATGATCCACCTCACCAACTGAAAACACATACTGGTCAATTCTTAGTTTCATCTATAGAGGACCTTTGGACACACCTATACACACCCAGCAACCCTATACACAACCCCAAAACAACCCACCAAGTACTCGTCCTCCTCTTCGGTTCAGTCCAGGTGGATGAGCTCTCCGCCCGTGCACGGGTGGTGGCCGATGAGCGAAGCCATTTGGAGAACTCCCTGCAGACCACGCACCAGAGGGCCGCTCGGGCGGGTCCACCCGAGAGACGCGGAGTCGCCTCAGGTGAGGAGTCGCCTCCGGTGATGCAGAGGTGAAGTGAGAAGGACCAAAGGACCCAGGGGTACCTGTGGGATAGTCTAGGGGGCTACTAGGGGGGTTCTGAAAAACCTCTGGATGAGGGCGGGAAGGTGTCCAGAGCGGCACGGCCCCTTCCAGTTTTGCCACCTTGTGCTCGCGCGGCAGTGGGACGCGCGCAGCGCTGAGGAAGTCAGCGCCTTGAAGGAAGAGCATGCACGACGAATGTCTGAGCTGCAGCGGAAGCATGCCGAGGAGCAGGTGGGCGGGAGGTTGAAGAGCTTCCTTGCTCAAGTTGGTGGTGGGGCAAGGGGTCCTACATCATGCAAAATGCATATAATATAGCCTAATGCATTGAACATCCTACAGTTGCCCCTCCAGATGCATGTTTCATCGTCCCGGTTTTTCAGCGGTTGATGCCAGTGTGGCGGCCAGGCGTTGGCCTCGGCCCAGCAGACGGAGGCGCTGCAAAGCTGTCAGCTGCATGCAGAAACTGCGGAAGCTCAGGTAGCTCAGCTCTCCAGGCAGCAGCAGTCGCTGCAGAGTAGTGGAGAGAGCTGTAGGGAACGAGCCCTTCAAGCGGAGAAGGAGTTGCAACTTGGAGACCATCCGTTTCTCCCTTCTTTTTGGGTGGGGGAGGAGTTCCAGGTGTGGGATGGCAGATTGAAGGGATGGGTTGAGGTAGCCGAGGTGATGTTTATATTTCCGTGCTTACCGCAGTTGCAACCAAGATAAGAGTCATGCCAGATGAACATCAGACCGATCTTCTCCACGGCTTTGGAGGAACTTCATCAATGACAGCATAGGTCACTCCCCCCATCCAGCTGTTCATTGTTGGTGCTGGGTCGGCCAGGATTGCATGATTTGGCCCCACAAGTGGTTGGTGTTTTGCAAGATGTTTCACTCCTTGGAAAGCTGAGCTTCTTTAACTTTAATGTTGAAACACCCTTTTGGTAGGGGGTCGCTGTATTCATTAACAGTCAACATTGCTTGGCTTCAAGGTGCACGTTTCAGGTGAGGAGCTCCCTCACTCAGATGTAGCACCCATCTCAGGAAGGAGGCTAACCTGGAGATCCAGGAGCTACGGAAGCAGCTGAAGGTCTTGGAGGAGAGCAGTGTTGCGTTGGGGTGTGGTTGCCCCTGGCGGGGCTTGGAGCTCGAGACAGCGTAGGCAAATGGTTGCGTTCGGCCCCCCTTGGGGCCATTGGCCACCCCAAAATGGTGGGAGCCTTGCGAATCTATTTGACCTGTCCCGTGTGGAGCAACCATCAGCAACCCCCGGTCACACCAACATGTACAGAGTTCACTTCAGGAGCAGAAGTTCCGGCACGAGCGAGAGATCAACGAGCTGAAAGTTCAGTTGGCCTCGGTGACACTTCGACTCGACATCGACTCGAGGAGTCCGAGTGTCATCGTCGCTCCCGTCGGTGTGTCGCTTCAGTGTGCCTCAGATCTCCCGCGAGAGGCTGGACTTGCAAAAGGAAGATCCACACTCATATGATATATGGATCTGAAGATGGTTTGATGATGTCTGAACTTTTGTCCGGAGGACCTCTCTTGACCCAAGGTCGGTGGTAGAACGGCACCTCTTAGCGGGAATCGTGCTGTGGCTTGGGTTGGTAGAAATCAACATGTTCCATGTGTTCAGGCTTCTTGAACATGTAGGCTTGTTGGAACTGTAGGCAGAACTTGTTTCTTACCCCAGTGGTAGTCCATGTCTATTGAATTGTTGGTTAGAGCCAGCCAGTAGTATTCAGTATAGCTAATGTATTATATAACATGTAAGCCCGTTGCTTTGTTCAAAATACACAGGCTTTGAAACATGGTGTGTTGCGTTTGCGTGTGGAGCCCTGTCTTGGATGTAGATTTCCTCCACTCGTTTGGTTCAATGTCACATGACTTATATAATGTCCTTGGCTGAGGAAGGAACAGCTGGCAGTGCGGGAGCAACACGCAGCCAGCCAGAAGCTTCAGAGCCTGAGCGAAGAAGGGGCAGATGATCACCAGACCTGCGGCCTGTCACGGCCTGTCCTCACACAAAGGCGGCTGTAGGATGTTTAGAACTCCTATAGATTAAAATCCAAGACACATTTTGCTTCAAATGCTTTTCACTCCAAATCCTCGTCCTTTTTGTGCCGTTAGCTATCATCAGAGCGATGGCCCCCCGCCACACCTCCCTCCTTTGAAAGCAGAACTCTTGCATGCCAAAGGCGATGTCACGTTCACACCGGGCAGATCCTTTGATGTTTCACACAGATGTGAGCAGGAGACATCAAGTGCCAAGAAACCAAGTACTTATATAATTGGAATACTAATTCATTTAAACAAAAAACAATTCATGGATGTACTGTAGGTATATATCCAAACTGCTCCCTTAGCATTTAGACGTCGCCCATAGTGGCTCGCGAGGTGTGTTGACCTAGTAGACAGCATGTTGTAAATGAAGAAATCCCAGGCAGATGAATGGTGCGCAGACCTCGAAAACAAAAGTTCATGAGCGGGAGAAGTTCATTAGGTATGCTGATGCATGAGTTGATCCATGCATACCGATGTTGGGGATTTTACTTGACAGTACTCAATACCCCAAGCCATTTGATTCTGCCACGGAATCCCCCAACCAACTAGAATCCCGTCCAAGGATTGACGAAGCGGTGAACCAGCGGCGCATGCTGGAGGAGAATGTGAGCAGCTTGAAGAAGCAGGCGCAACAACTCAATGTACTGTATGTACGCGCGTGCTGCACTCCCTTGGGCCGGGATTCGCCCGCACTCGGTCAGTACTCAATAGCCATTGTCTTGTCATTCTTGTGGATCCCCATTAGTCACACTCTTGGGCTCAAATGTCAAGTCGTGAACAGCCAGCGATCAGTCCTGGCCAGCGAGGCTTCATCTTTGGAAGAGAAGTTCAACCTGTCGAGCCAGGAGCGAAGCGAGCGCAGCGCCCGACTCGACAAGTCGACTGGGTAATGTAAGGATCTCAGTGGGCGAGAGAAGTGGATCTCTACCACTACCAACACCCGACTCTACAGGTCCCTTCTGGAGGCCTTTCGAGACTTAAACATCGCAGGTGGTGGGCTGGCAGTGAGGCTCCTGGACATAACATGGTAACCACCTGGAGGTAAAGTCTTTGTGCAATCTTTTGGCAGAAAAAAACCACTTCCCCCCGTATGAGGAGCATGGTCCGAACTGGAGGGTTTGGGGAACCCCCCCGCGCATTGGAGGCCCGACTTCTGCCTTCCTGGCGAGGGTTCTCGACTCTTAGAGGGTTCTCGACTTGGCGGGTGCAGGAGATTGCCAAGGGCAACCGGATCATCCAGAGCCTACACCAATCCTCCAAGGAAAGCAAGGCCTTAGGAAACGGACAGGGCTGGTGGCGAGGGCTGGTAGTGGTGAAGAAGGATCAGGCGATCCTCTCGACCAGGCTGAGATGGCGTCAATCAAGTGGTGTGGGCGTCGATGGGTGTTGCAGGTTGCGCGGAGGTGCCTTTCAAGCGGTATAGGGCAAGGAACATCCAGGTTTTTCACGGGTGCTTTAAGGTTGCCAAGGGGCTGCATCGTACGACAGGTGCTGCATCGTACGACATGAGTCTGTTCAAAGGAACGGGTATACATTATGAGGCATGGAGCCAATGTTGGGTTTCTTATATATATATATATCGTCGTCAGAGTGAACCATGACATCGTCAGCACCTATATGTAATGCTATGACTCCTGAATGTAATGTAATCTACTTAATATGGAGAGAGTTATATCCTTTGATGTTGCAACCTGTTTGCAGCATGGGCCTCTACCACCCTCCAACAGGTCACCACCGTCAGTGACGTTGAAGTCTCCACCTCCAGATGTGCCGATGTCGGAGGGCGGCCGCCATGTGGGCCGTCCAGCTGTATATCATCAGTCTTTGAATCGTTTCATATTTATGTGTTCAACCTTTACTTGGGATGATTGAACCCACTGACAGATCTTCGTTTCGAGTAGAAACTACCAACCAGTCATCCGACAGCATATGAAAGGATGGACATGGGCCCCGTTCGAGCAGAAAGAAACCAAGTCTGGAGTTGGGTGTTGTTCGCTGCATGGGAACATGTCGAGTTGGGTGTTGGTCGCTAGGTGAAGTTGCGGCAGAAACAAAGCGAGTTGACCGATCTGGAGAAAGCACGCTTGGAACTAGCGACTTGGATGACCACACAAGTCAGGGTGAGAGCACAAGTCAGCTAGTGATCCTTCCTCCAAACATGGAAATGGACAATCTCCGGTTTGTAAAGGAGCATTGTCTTCCCACAGGGGCATTTGCCACTTCCATGATTGTTGGAGGGAGGGTGGCAGACTTCTTCTGAGTTTCCTTTTGTTGCTGATGTGGGCCCTTGCCATTTGCACGGAATTTACGTCGAACGTACCAGCTCTCTTCCAGATCCCGGGTTAGTTCTCGGCTGGGTGTCTATGAAAAGGAGGGATGTGTCTATATAACAAATATTGTTTTTGGAAAGTTGCTTTTCAGGAAGGACTCTTCTAGAAAACATCCAAAATCACCTTCCGACTTGGAGACCTGCAATGCTACCCCATGTCTTAGGAGAAGGAGGGGCAGCTCTCCAAGTTAGTGCTGGATGAGAAGGATCAGGAGCTTTTGCGTGGCAAACATCGTGAAGAGAAGATGAAGGAGGACATCGATGAGATGAAGAGGACCATTGACGAATGCGATTGGTGTTGTGTCTTTTTGTTGCTCTGGATGTTCCTTCCTTGTTATCGACATCAGTGCCATGATGTGCCATGTTTGTTGCAGTTTGTCCTCGTATGTAAGTGCCCTCCTGCATTTTTTTGGGCCCCGAGGTTGCCAGTAGCCAACAGGTTTATTGGAGGGTGGCGCACAATTTTATCATAGTGTTTTTTCCTTGTTTAGGTTCTGATGTTTGATGTTGGCGATCAACAAACAAGCAAACGAGCACATTGAACAAGCACGGCTTCGGCATGAGTGCCGAATTCCGATCTGGAGGGGCACATCCCACCCTAGTTGTCGAGGGCTATCAAAGCCAGCCATGTTGAGAGTAGAAAAGGGTCTTATGCAGGATCTTGAGCTGGTTAGAGTTGCAAAACTTGAGTGCTGAATGCTACTGTGCACTTCTAAAGAAGATAGAAGAGCCAGTTTTCGGTGTTTTCGATATAATTATCGGACACCGTGGCGCCCGACAAGTCTATGAGATATATGAAAAAAAGAAGGCCCTGAACCCTTTGTGGGTGCGTTTCTCAGGAAGTTAGCCGAAGCACATGATGTCATCAAATCCAACCAGGAAGTCATCGAGCCACTGGGTTTTGCAGGTGGTTGTGTGAAAACCACCTACGGACCTACAGTAGGATGAGTGGGGTCATCTTTAGAGTCTAGAGACCAAGGTCCAGTATGAATCCAGGTTTATGGGAACATCTTTTGCTTGGTGAGTATATATAGGGTCTGTCCTATTGCCTGCCACAGTTAACAAGGCACAACAAGGCCTGCAACTGAACCATCATCATCATCATCCACTGTTACAGGTAAGAACGGATAGACCCAAAGTATATATAGTTACTTGTTTCTCCCTGATTCCCGGACCAGCCAATCCAAGTTATATAAACAGTGGATGAAGGATGACAAAGGGACGACAATGGGAAGCAAGTGGACCGTGGGCCGATGTGTTCGTGCACCTGATGTGTTCTTCCATGCGTTGAGGATTCTTCCTTCAACAGCAGCAGACAGGGATGGAATTTCCATGGCCATTTCTGGAGATTCAAGGCCTTTGTGACTGGGATAGGAAGTCACATTGAGGTACTCGGAAGGAGTTCATTAGGGGCTGTTGCAGGGGTTATGAGATGTTAATGGTGAACGGTTTCTCCCAGTATTTTTTTTCCTTCAGTGCAGGTCAGAAATCACTCCCTCAGGCCTCCTGAAGTTTGAGCCTTCGTCCAATTCCACAAAAAACATCTAGGCCTTCTCTCTAGAAACCAAAAAGTTGAAAAAACACGGATCAAACCTTAACCTTCTGCCTGGTAAATGGGCTCGAGATTCTATACACATACACGTTTCTGGTTTTTCACGGCCTCCACCAACCTCACCGAGGTATTTGAACCGCCAACTCACCGAGCGAGAGCTCCGCACCATGCCGACCGTGCCGATGTCGGGTACGGCCAACTCGACCTTTCAATCGGACGTCCCGTCGCGGAGCGGCACCACCAGCGTGGCGCTGGCGGAGCTGTTGAGCAAGGTGGAGAGCCTCGCACCCAAGTCGAAGGGACTTCCCAGCAGTCCCGGCCACGCGGAGGCGAATACTGTAAGGATGGGGGGGGGAACAGGAGGGCGAGATTTGGGGCTCAATTTGAAGGCATTTGGGGCCGCCCTTCCTGAGTGAACCAGTCAAGACATGTTAAAGACACAGACTTTTTCAGGTTGGTTGGTGAGGATGTGTCTTTTCGAGCAAGCATTGGAATGCCCTCCCTTGAAAGGCGTGTAGGAGGTGAGTTGAACTCGAGAAACGGTGGGACTATCCTTGCGGCGGATCATGTTAGAGCATTGATTGATGAGACAAAGAGAGGTGTTTTTCTTGGTGTTTTGTCAGCGAAACGTGCCCGCATCCAATAGGCGGATACCAGCAATTGCCTGTCGATTCATTGGTGTAAAGATAGCCTCCTTGGGAATGTCTCAATGACAAGACGTGCCAGTGTTTAAATACTTTGTTGGAGTGGGTTGCAGTGGACGGCCGGGATGGCAATCCACTTTCCACAGAGACTACAACGAGAGTTCCTTTGCGAAAAGGGCTTCGCAGGGTAGAACGACCATCGACTCTTGATAAATAGACTCCCCCATTTGGATTGCAAAACCTTTTCGTGGTTGATTTATCAACCGTCTACATTAAGGAGCTTGGACCGTAGTCCAAACTCTGTGTTGTTTGGATTCTCCAGACTCCAGCCTTTGGCAAAGGATTGCAATCCTTCAAGCTGGGCCAGCTATAAATAAAGAGGACAATGACTCTTCAGGCAACCAAGGTCATGTTCGAGAATAATCACTGTGGACTTGGAAGATGCTCCAAGTTGTTGGTGTTTCGGATGTTGTACGCATTTGTACGCTATTTTCTTTGTGAACACGCACAATTTTGACATTAGCACCACCGGCAAGCTAAACAAGGGCAAGGACTGCTGATTCAAGGACTGCTAACTCGTGGCCAGCCATGAGGCTACGCTCACAAATCATTATCCCCAACTCCATGTTCACGGCAAAGGCTGGCTATACGTACTAGTTGTTCTTCACGAAGTGAGCACCATACTCTGGGTATATAACTAACCCAAAAGATTTTGGCAGATCTCGGCAGGTTTGGCAGATCATTCGGGTCTGAGAGATCTGAGGCTATGGCGGCCATGTGTCCTCCTTGAATCTCAGCCTTTCCACGCCGGCGAAGACACCGAGCACCATGGCCAGCTCGCCAGAAGAGGAGCCGCGTGCGAGACGTGCGAGAAGACGTGCGATTGACGTGGTGAGAGGGAGATCGACGGACCCACAGGGAAAGCCAATTTAAGAGTTACTTGAGCTACGGCGCTACGTGCGTGTGGAGGGAGGGGGATGTGGAGAGAGAAGCACCGTCAGCAGCCGATTCTTTGAAAGGGTTCATGTTGAACTCGTTTCTGGAATGCAAGGGGGCCTCGAAAGCATCAACGTGGGCGACGCCCTTGCCTGGTTTTGTTTTTTTCCTTTGGTCCTCTGGGTGACCCTTTTCTGGGGAATATGAATCTGGCTTACCCTCCCTCCAACAATCATGGTCCCGTGGGAACCGGCTTGGAATCGTAAGTATAGGACAATAGTCCTCCGAAATCGGGGTCATGTTACACTTGCATGTTTGTTGGATAGGAGGTGGACCAGCAAAATCCAAAGCTCGGAAGGACCTCTTGTCGCGGCCCGTGGCCTATCGACGCCCCATCCATCCATGATGGACGAGCTGCAGCTGACGGAGGCGAGGCAAGAGCTGGGAGGGGGTGAATTGCTGGTCTTTCTTTGTTTTCTCATGGTTTGATCCCTTGGGACCCATCTTTGGTTTTGGAACTTGTAGAGGGAACGTGTAATGGGGGGAACAGATTCTGGACGTTCCCAAGACCATCAAAAAGGAAGAGCTGCGTTGGAGCGGGGCAGGTGTGCTCGATGCTGCATGAATGAATCATAGTCAGTTCATGCTGGATGTCTAATCAGCAATCCGCCACAAAAGCGTGCGTCGGACGTCCCAAGACCTCCAATTCTGGAAACAAGCCAGGTACTCCTACTCCCAACTTGATCTCAGTGACACATTGATTTTGTTTGCAACTTCGGGACCGGGACCATTCTGTATAGCTGAAAAAGGGTGGAGTCCTTACTGGTCCTCGAACTTGGGGATGCGCCAGTCGTATTTGGTGCCCCGGTCCCCAAATGACAAGACAAGCTGTTGCTTGCCGATGAGGATTTGCCTTTTGGGATGTTCAGTATTGAGAAGGAGAACCGACCGCTTCAAAGCTCAGATAGCCCCAAACACAAGAACAATAACTTACAAGTATGATAGCATGATCGGGGCATGCAGAATAGTATATTATATATATATGTGTATGTAGACTATAAGCCTTGAATAGGCTATCTCAAGAGCTTGCAGCCTGCAGGTAAGTGGTGCAAGAAAGTGATCGTTTTGAGACGTGCTTGCTGAGGTCGCATATGGCAGGTTCATCCACTTTTGGGATGACTTGGTGCATGTTCCGCAGACTGGGCTGCTGCTGATGGGGGGCAGGGGGGGGTTGATGTTTCACGCCACTGGGGCATGGGATTCGTAGTTGGGGAATCCTATGGCTTCACCAGGCAGGCAGACATCAAAAGGTGGGGAGGAAAAAGAGTCGCCGCGATGCTGAAGAGCTGCCATCTGCCCAGCTTGCACAGCCACACACAGCTTGGGTGAGTTGTAGGGTGATAATTGCTATTTGCAACTTTTCTTGGAAAGCTTTGGGTTGCGACTCGCCTGAGCTGCTCCTGCCGACTCGTGCACCGCTGAAGTCACCCGTGTGAGCCGACCGGGCGGGGTGTTTTCCTCAGGAGCTGGACCGGCGGAGGGAACAGCTCGCGCGGATTGCACAGGGCCACTGGGCGAATTTTGTTCGTTTCTGATTTTTTTGACAATTATTATGATATTTGCTACTATAGTA